TATATATATATATATATATATATATATATATATATATATAATATATATATTTTATAATATAAATTGAAATTTATTACATATAATTGTTTCATTTTAAATATCAATTTGTTAAACGTGAAATAATATTATGTGCCTAACATTCATTTATTATTTTATTTATACATATATAATATATTGAAATAAATACTAATCTATTATCAATTATTTCATATGTTATAGTCTATAAAAGTTATTATATAGCACATTTAAAACATCATGAAAGAAGTAATAATTTAGTCATATGATTATCTTCTATGTTTAATTTGTATAATATATATAATATACAATATATAATGTACAATATATATATAATATATAATAATATATAATATAATATTATATTATAAAATTTACTGCATTAAAGAAACACCATCTGTTGTAATTTCATAGCTATCTCAATGACTTTTAAATATCGGATAAAAGTTTTGTGAAAAATAAATTTCTATTAATAAAAAAAAACTTAAATAAAAACTTATAAAAATTTCATAATGAATATTCCTTTAAAAATATATTATGAAATATTACAGATAGAATTGCATTAAATATCTTAAAAAAGATGGTAATTTAAAGAAAATATATATAACAATTATAATTATATTGAAATTAGAGGAAACTAATTAAACTATAATCACTTTTTGAATATTTGTTTTCATTTGCTGTATTTATCATTTATGGAATAATTTTTGAATTATCAATTTTTATACAATTGATATGAATAGAAATCCGATTTCGTCAGAATGAAAAACTCAGATTTCGCGAAGACAGGGCGGACCCGCAACATGGGAACCATATCGACGATAACACAGACCGTCGTGGCATTAGGGCCACGGCGTTCTCTCAGGTTCTCGTGTCAACACATTCCCGACGCCCACGATGAATGACGCATGCGCCCTAAACGTCTGAGTCGCTCTTCTTCCGTTCCTTTCTGGCATTCGTTCGTATTCTTTCTCGCTGATTCACTTGCTCGTTCTTTCGGTTCTCCTCACAAGGTACACACAAAGGCTCCCATCTATTCCTTGGATACGCCCCTGGCTTTTGTATGAATACCCTTCTCCTCTTGCTACTACCTTCATCGGCTCGAAATTTCTAATTTGCCGAGGGTGCATAGACAATGCAGATCGTTAGAACAATTTCTGACTTTAGAGGATTCTTCGATGACAGTCGATAAAGGTATAGAAACGAAAATTATACATGAATCTAATATTCTACATAGCCCCTATTTCGTCTCTTCGATATGTACGCCCCTAGGAGGCGCGTAAACCTAATCGTTCTTCCCCCTCCAATCAGTTGAACGTAGTCGAGTCCCCTCCTTTTCCGCTCCCACTGCACACACCAATTTTCCAATTGATAAGGGTGCACAGTTGATACAGACTAACCCTATCTCTCCATCCTCTCTTTCGCTGTCAGTCTCTCTTTATTTCTCTTCTGGCTCCCACTCTTCGTTGCTTCGTTGTAAAGTTAACATTGCTGCGATAACGTTGGTTTATTTTTTGAAAACATTCAAGCAGTTAGCATTCGTGCAATTCATTTCCATACGAAGAGAGAGAAGAGAGAGAGAGAGAGAAAACGAAAATTATTTTTATAAACAGCGTGAGAATTATAACAGTAAATTTAAGAAATAACTTTTTTTTTATTGGAAAACTAGTGACATGAAAATTCAAGTCGGATAAGGAATGGAGATCTGAATAAAAGCAGGAGGGGAAACTTGTTCCTAGCAAGCAAGCAAGCCGTATGTTACGTAAAATTAACAATCATATTCCGAAACTCACTTTCCCGTCTGGGATTTCGGGAGAGGGAAGTTGATGGCATGAGAATGTTACGAGGTAACGCTAGTAGTCCGATACGGAGCCAGTAGTACCTTGGCCGTACAATGCTATCCTTTAACGGAAAAATGATTTTTTCTACAGATCAAAAATCGTACAATGTGCATTTCCTTTCCAGCTAATTGTTTCGTTTTGTATTGTGTCATGAGAGACAGATCTCTCGGCTAATTCTTATAAAATACTTATATAGAATAAGTTGAGCTTTGACTCGGTGCGTGACGCGTATGACAGCTGTAACGCGATGTTGCCACGTGTTGACTTTGGCTTAACCTAAGCGACCAACTTGCTGGCCAAGCATGTGCATTCTGATTATCTTACATTCGAATATTGTTATAATATATAACCGTTATATTGGCAAATGAAATTTCACTTTAAAGACAAGGTGAAGATTGAAGATTGCACGGCGAAAATATAATGCAACTTCGTCGATATTGTGCAAGCATCGTGTGATCAGAGTACAATGATCAAATTCGTATATCATATATGGTATGTTTCATGTTCGTTTTTTTATATGTTTTACATTATTCATACATCTTGCATTGTCAAAAACTATCAATTTTATTTTTTTCATAATAATTTCCAATCCAAATTCTTTGTATTTATTATTTCCAATGGTTGACTTGAAAGGCTTTCCGCTTATATGAGTGACCAGCATTCGTGTTTCACGGATATCCAACCTCGTGGAAAATGTTCACTCATGTTCAAGTACTAGAACTTTGGTGTTTACTTATATGCTCAGGGCTGTGCCAGCGGGGACCCAGTATGATCTTCAAGAACTGCGTGGGTGCGGCCTTTCCCTGGTCTCGAAAG